TGGGAGAAGAGGTCCCCCCGCCCCCAACTCCTGCTTCTTCACAGAAGTGCAGGATCACGGGTGTGAAATATGGCATGTTAGCTAGCTATGCATATCTCATTTTTCCCTTATTCCTTTTTCTATTCTTTATTAAAAAGGATGGCTCCCTGGAAGAGAGTGGGGGGAAGGACAGTGAGAAATACAAGTGATGTAAAAACCAAAGATACCAATAAAATTGTATTTAAATTTTTTTTAATTAAAAAACTATATTACAACTGAAATAGTTCTGTAAAGAACGTCTAGCTCTCAAAATGAACAAATCTTTGAAACAAAAACAGGAAACGTGCAGATTCTAAAGTGGGAGTCATTTCCAAACCAGTGGTCTTGACCACCAGCTAGTGAAAGATCAAACACCAAATGTGAAGAATAAAAACAAGAAGACAAGCAAATGAGGCAACTCCAACCTGACCTATTTAAACAAGCTATTAATACAGAAAAATGGGAAATAAAAGAACAGATGCGCACGAACGATTTCAAAGCGCCAGCCACACACAGCCAGCAGCCCAGTGCCACCTCGGCCAAACGAGCGCTCTGTCTCTCCAGCAGCAGAGGCCGAGGCTGGCCTGCAACACGAACTCAGGTGTGAGATCTTACGGAGGGCGACCGCGGGAGAACACGAGTGATGCTTCTCCTCATAAAATGCATCGAGAAGCAACGGAGAGAAAAACACTTTGTCTAAAGGAAGCCCAGACGGGCTGAGAGGACACTTAAGGATAAAATGGGAAGGACAAAGAAAAGGTAAGAAACGGAAAAAACCTGTAACCGTCTTCACGACTACTTTTTTCCACCAGTGACAGTGAAGCTGAGACACGTCTGAATCCTAACGTCCCAATGCCTGAGTACTGCATGAGGCAGCAGCAGCAGTAGCAGCAGAGATGCTAAAGAAATTAACCACGGGAAGAGCAGCGAGAACAGACCAGATGTGCGGCATGTGCAGAGGGGATGCAGCCGAAAGAAGTAACGAAACCAAATGCTTGGGGGTGGAAGTGGGGGGAATCACAGAGCTTACTACCACAAAAGCCTGGCTAAGAAAATACAAGCCACTACTTTCCCCCGCAGGCTTACTTTCCCACCTCTTCAAAACTTTCATGAACATAAATTTACATGTGCATTGGAGTCAGCAGCGTCTTCACTGCCAGATGCAGCACAGGGTAGGGAGGAGAGAGGTGGCCTGCAAGCCAGAAAGACCTGGGTGTGAGTTCTGACTCTGGGCCATACAACTGTGAGATCCTGGGTGAGTCACAGTACCTCAAGTAACTCTCTGCGAGGCTTTGCATTGCAGAGAAGGTGCCGACCTCCAGTCCCTTTTCTACAGCTTCACAGGTCTTTACAGTCACACAACTTACCAAAGTATCCAACCCTGGTTACTGTTTGGTGACTTTAAAAAAATGTAGTTTTTAGGAGCAAAACACTGCCTGGCAAGTTCTCCCTCAACAAGGCATCTCCTACGAATGTGCCAAAATCAAACCTGGAAAGGCATTAACAAGCCGGATGGACCCCTCTGCTCAAGAGCCGAGGCACACGGCAAAGGAACTGAGTGTGCTCCCCAAAAGCATTTTGCTACTGTTCTGAAGGGTGTCCATCAGAGTCCAACTGGGGGCAGGAGGGGTTCTCTAGCGACGGCCCTACGTTTGCCCTCAATTGGGGCAGATCCTCCCTAAAGAGCGAGACTCGGTCAAAAGTGTTTGTCTGAACCATCTACACAGGAAACACCAAGAGGGTGCTGAATTCCTGCTGCCCAGGCTCTACATCACCTGGAGCAGAGAGACCCTGGTAACGGACAAGATGGCCCAGAAGGAAAGCAGACTGGACTGCCTTTGGGGAAATGTTCCCTGCGTTTAAGGACCCGTGGCTTTCTTTGAAACAAAGTCCGCGTTTTAAAAATCACTATTCTTCCAATGCCGCTATGTGGCTGTGTCATGAAAAATCATGAGAATCTAGAGAATTAAAAGCTTTGGGTTCATCAAAACGTGTTGGACAGGTGTTTGGTCACCAGAGGCAATGGCATCAGGGGTGTCACAGAGACGGATGACCCAGAAAGGGAGGTGGGCTGGTCATATAGCGGAAGTAAGGGACATCCAGGGCACCTGCTCCCTTCGCCAGGAGCCACACAACATCAAGATATCCAGAGAGGGCCCTCAGCTCACGGACAGATGGGCTCTTCGTGGAAGATGCACAGGAGGCTGAGGAGCCCAGATCCCACTTATTCCTGCATGTCTCACTTTTCTTCATTAGACTATCAACTCTACAAGACAGAGCACACCTTTCTATGTCCCCAAGGCCCCAGCACCAGCACCAGCACAGACTGGACACAGGTCTGTGGGAGGAAGAGAGGAAGCATGGGGCGGAAAAGCCCTCTCTGCTTCACAGGTTCCGTATTAGAAATAAAAAGCAAGATGAGGTGTGGGAGGTGTGACAAACTGCCAGCAGTGACGTGCCTGAGTGTCAAGGATCTGGGCAGACTGAAAAAGAGGCGTGCATTCCTTGGGGAAGAGGGAGGGAGAGCGTGAGGGCAAACACTGTAAGATAAAGGAAAGGGAGACAGGTGCCCAGGCCACGGGGAGATCTCTGAGTCCCCGGCGTAATGGAGAGAGAAGCATGGAGGGGCGCCATCGCAGACTCACACCCACGTGGGGATGGCTCTGCTGAAGCACCATGGTGGCAATGATACAACTCCGGGGTCTGTAGGACCACCCAACAACCTGGGAGGTCACATAAGGACTGAGAGGATGAGCCTGGTTTTAGAGCTGAAAAAGCAGGGATGAGAGGTCTGAATAACTTGGGCCCAGTCACACAGAGTGCCCTGCAGCACCTGCACTTCCAACCCCAGGCTGCAGACCTGGAGGCCACAGCTCTTTCTCTCCAGCTCCCCACACTCCTTCCCCTCAGCCAAGAGGCTGTGAAGCCACTGGACTAGCCCCCCAGCTGGGAAGCTGCCCCTAGGCAGTGACACCCAGGCCAGGGCTGGCTGCACACGCCGCGGCTCCTATTCCCCCAGAAGGAGCCTCATCAACTCCAGCTGCTCAGCCCCCATGAGCTGCCAGGCAGAATGGCAGGAGGCCTGCTGTGTCTAGAGGAGGACAGACCCACTCTCCCCCTAAAACTGTCCCCCTCTCTCCCTCCAGCTCCAAACGCTCCTCTGGGTAGGCCCATCAGAGAAGTGCAGCCTAAGAGGAGACAGTGCTGGGCTTTTCTTCCTGGCCCCGAGTCCTCTCTACCAGCCCTGCTGGAGCAGTACCCAGCTGAGACTGAGGAGCCCCTGGCCCCCTCTGCCCAGTGGAGGCTCTTGGCAACACTGCCCCTTGCCCCAGGTGGTGTCTTTGCCCTCCGGCTGACTCCCTAGCCGGCTGCAAAAACATCCTGGGGAGGATTCTGACTGGGATGGAGAGGTGTCACTCCTGTGTGACAAGGAACAAGTCTCCAATGCCCTCTGGGCCTCAGCTTCTCCCTCTCGGCAGACGGGGTTGGATTCTAACCATCTCTTTCCCCTCTACGTGCCACGGTGCTCTCCTCTGCTCAGAGTTCTCCTTCCGCCCCGTGGCCCTCCCCAGGACCATGCCAGCCCCATGCCATTCCGTTTCCTTCCTGGGCCAAGCCCTGGCTTCTCGCTTCACTAGCTCATGCCACAATGCCACCACAAGGAAACACTGCAGGGACTATTTCTGTCTGTGTGGTACCCCAGTCAGCCCCACCCCAGCCTCATTAGAATGTAACCTCCCTAAGGCTGGGGAATGGGTCCCTTTTCAATGCTGTGCTCCAGGATAAGCACAGCACCTTCATGCTCACCAGGTATTTGCTGGACTGAATCAGAGACCCCCTCCCCCACCCCAAGCTTGGACCACTGGCAGTGGAGAAGGGTTCGAAGCCCTCATATGTACTGAGGGTCCTCAGGAAAGACGAGAAAAGGAAGAAAGGCCTTAGTGTGCTGGGGTGCCTAGGCTTGAGGCAGCAGGTGGGGCCATCCAAGGAGCTTCCAGCAGAGGCTGCAGGACCTCATCAAGCTTGCCACAGGCTGGACAGAAAGGCTGCTGAGACCCCTCGACTCCAATCACACCTCTGACCTGTACAAGCTGTGGGACCCTGGTGAACCTTCCTGGGCCTCGAAGGCCTCTCTGAGTTGGCCCCCAGCTCCCCTAACCCTAACCTTTGCCTGGCCCTGCTTCTTTAAGAAGCGCAAAGGAGGGAAAAGGACCCCCATGTACCAAACTATTTTTATCAGCTCTTTCTGTGGTGGCAAAGAATTGGAAATTGAGGGGATGCCCATCCGCTGGGGAATGGCTGAGCAAGTGGTGGTATATGAATGGAATGGAACACTATTGTGATAAGAAATGATGAACAGGCTGACTTCAGAAAAACCTGGGAAGACTTATATGGTCTGATGCTGAGTGAAGTGAACAGAACCCAGAGGACTTTGCACACAGTAACAGCCACGTTATGCAATGACTAACTAAGATTGTTAAACTGAACCCTTCTCAGCATTACGAGGATCTAAGACATCTCCAGAGGCCTTAGGATGGAAAATGCTGTCCACATCCAAAGAAAGAACTATGGAAGTCGAATCACTATCACTTATTTTTACCTTCTGTTGAATTCTGTTTCATCTTTCTGATGGTTCCTCCTATTGGTTTTAATTTTTACTTACAACTTCACTAATGTGAAAATATGTTTAATGGGTATGTAAATGTAAAGCCTATATCAGATTGTGCGCCGTCTTGGGGAGGGTGGGGGGAGGAAGGGGGAGAAAAATTTTCAACTCAAAAGCACATGGAAGTAATTGCTGATAAACCAAAATAAATTAATAAAATTTAAAAAAAAAAAAAGAAGCTCAAGGGAAAAGACAAAGCCACCGACAGGGAGAAGGTGGCTCCCTGGGGCCTGGCTGAGAGCAGACAAGAGGCTGCACCCGCGAAATGCTCGGAGAGGGAAGGAGGAGAGGGGACGGCCAGCCCCAGGCTGCTTACCGGACATCCATGATGCTGTTTCGCAGCCCATCTCGATGGCTCTCCAGGTGGGAGACCGTGAACGCCGGGAGGCGGCGGATGGCAAAGCGCTCGTGCTCCCAGGCCAGCATGTCCTCTGCCAGGTTGATTTTCTTGTGCACCATAGAAAAGCTCACCTCTGGGAACTGACTGGCAGCCACCTGCAGAGAGACCAGGCTGTAACTTGGCCAGCATCGGGGTGGGGAGACGGCGGCCAGAGACAGCTGCACAGCTCCAGTCCTTTACCTGGACAGCCTCAGGCAGAGGCTCTGGCCTTCCCCAGGAGGTGAGGCACTGGCTGCCAGCTCTGAGAAGGTAGACGGGGAGGGGAAGAGCACTAGCCCAGGTTTTGCTGGCACCCTGGGGGCAGCCCCTGTTCCGATCCCCCAGGCATCCCTCAAGCAGGACCACAGAGGGATGTGGGACCCTACCCACCCTTGGCTGCGGTCCTCCACGCCCCATCCCCCCAGGCTGTTACCATCTCAAGCTCTCGAAGGAAAGCATACTGCAGGGTCCCCTCCTTGGGAGGCTTCGACACGTGCAGGTACAGACCATTCCCTCGGCCCAGCGTGTCGAGGCAGAGGACAAAGGCCACATTGTCCTGCAGCCAGCTGGAGTCTAAAAGAGGGTGGGGGACAGGTGACAGGGAGAAGCCAAGCTGGCCCACCTGAGCAAGGGGGCAAACGGGCGGAAACCAGCTCTCCCAAGGCAGCTTGCCACTGTTTGCCAGGCCGTGGCCTAGCAGATGTCCCTCACCTCCCAGCCCAGCCTGTCTTCCAGCCACCCCAGCAGCAGCCCCCGACTCACCTGTGTGATCCAGGTTGTCTTCTAACCACCTCTTAGTGCCCTGATAGTTAAATTTGCCCCCACCAGAGGCAAAAAACAGCAGGTTGTACCTGCCAGGTGGAAAACAGAACTATTAGATTAAACTGTCAGAGCTGGGAAGGCCCTTAGAACATGGAATGTCAGCATGACAGTGCCCTGAGAACACAGAATGTCACAACTAAGAGGAACCTTAGAACTAATCTAATCCAACTCCCTCATTTTACAGATGGAGAAACTGAGTCTCAGAGAGGAAAGGACTTGAAGGTCATTAAGTGAGTTAAGAGAAAACCTGGTTCTGGTACCCAAAGTGACTGGTTCCCAATTCAAAGGTTTCTTCCACTATTATGCACTGTGTGCTAAAGTGTTTACCCAAGATTCAGACACCAGGAAAGTCCCTGAAAATGGAAAACACATGGATGGACCTTTTATGTTGCTGGGGAAATAGGGATCTCTGAGAGCTCCAGCACAGTTAGCCTGTGAACAAGAACACTGCCATCTCTTTCACCAATTCAATTCAACAAACACTGAGAATGCTCATGAGGAAGGCTCCATGCCAAGGGAACAAAACCAAAAACGGTCTAAGGGCCCTTCCAGCTCTGACAGTCTGGGCTCTCAGGGCCCTTCCAGCTCTGACATTCTGGGCTCTAAGGGCCCTCCCAGCTCTGACACTCCCTGTTCCAAGGCCCTTCTCAGCTCTGACATCCTGTGTTCTAAGGTTCCTCTCAACTCTGACATTCAGGGTTCTAAGGGCCCTCCAGTTCTGATACTTTATGTTCTAAGGACTCTCATGGCTTCCATATCACATATATGTCAACACTAGGCATTAGGACAGCACTCTAATTCAGGAATCACATGCTGATGGAGAAAGGAAGGAAATGCATGAGTAAAGTCTGAAAAGGGCCTATTTAGGGGAGAACATAAGCAGCCTGGAATAGTGGAAAGAACATCCTGGATCTGAAGTACCTGGGAAGGAGCCGGGTTCAACCCCAGCTGTCACTGACTCCTGATGTGACCTTGGGGGCAAGTCCCTCCCTTTCTCTGGGCCTTAACTGCCTCATCCGTAATGGATGGATGCTGTGATCCCGATGATCAATCACAGGGCTTCATTCTAAGTAACCCCAAAGAACAGAGCTAGCACAAACAGGAGGAGAAAATACAGGGAGGTCCATTCCAGCCCAAGCCCAGGAAGCATCGGCTAACAAAGACACTCCTGCAAGGAGGGAAGTTTCAGGTCCTGAAAGCATTCAAGCAGACACTGACCACCTGTCAAGGAGGTTGCCATGGAGACTGCTACTCAGGCGCAAGCTTGAACTAGTTGAGCTTAAGGTCCCCTCCAGCACGGAGGATGTATGATTCTACTTCTGGGTATGGAAAGAGGAGAGCCGATGGCAAAAAAGAGCTAGGATCAGGGTTGTGGGGGGCACCCAGCCGGCCTTGATAGCGGGAAGACAGGGAGAAGGGGGCAGAGAAGAGGACAAGGACACAGGAAGGGGGAAAGAGGGGAGAAAGAGGAGAGAAGGAGGGCAAAGTCACAGAAAGAGGGTGGGAGAGGAGGGCAAAAGGGGCTCCTGAGTCACCCTGGCTAGGCCCTGCCACGGCGTTCCGCCGGCTCTAAGCGCCCAGGACTCACGGGCGGCGGACAGCACTGAGCCCCCATGCTCCTTCACAGAAGGCCTCCCGCCCACTTACCCCGCGTGGGTGCGTTTGTAGGTATACAGCCTTGAGAAGAGCCTGGCCAGCTCGAGGAGCACGGAAATCCCGCTGCCATTGGAGTCTGCTCCATGAGAAAGCCACTAGAACAGAGCAGCTGCCTCAGGGCTTGGCTAAGCAGCCTTCCCAACAGAAGCCCCCGAGAGCTCTGCCCGCCCGCCCCAGCCCTGCTGAAGGCAAAGGAAACCCAAGAGCAGACAGCGGAGGGAGATACATACAGGGGCCACCCCAAAGGAGTCGTAGTGGGCCACAATGACAATGGTGGGAAGGTCCTCTCCGCCTAGTCCTGTCAGCCGGCCCTGTGAAGAAAACTATGGTCAGCAGTGCGCGGGCTGGCTGGGAGGAAGGGTCCTGAGAAGGGGCAGTTACTGCCTGGAAAAAGAATGTGCCACCACACACACACACACACACGTGCGCGCGTGCACACAGCCCATGTGCCTGGCCACCAGTCTCGTACTCCAAACTCGGGCAGTTCAAGTCGTGCCCCACCTCTGTCCACCCCCCTCGTGCCCCAGCACTTATTTAGTACCTACTATGTGCCAGGCTCTGTGCTAAGCACTTTACAAATATTCTCTCATTTGATCCCCTCTTTTAACAGTTGAGGAAAAGGAGGCAGAGGTTAAGTGACTTGCCCGGGGTCACACAACTAGTAAGCATCCGAGGCTGGATTTGAATCCGGGTCTTCCTGATGCCAGGTCCAATGCCCTGTGCACTATGGCACCAGCTAACTGCAATGGACGATTCCCGACTTCTTAGGGAGGGAAACAGACACACCAAGGTTTGGTTAAAAACCCTGCTGTGGCCCTCCTACACTGACTTACACGGATCCCATCACGCTCTCACACAAAAGCCTCAGTCCCTAACAGCAGCCTAGGACAACTGGAATAAACCCCAGACTTACAGCTCGAGTCTGAGCTCTGCCACTTTCTTTGTAACTTTGGGCTTCACCTGTGTAAGGCCTCAGTTTCCTCACTTGTCAAATGGTGATTCTGTACCGACCATGCAGCCCATGAGGTGACTGTGAGGATCAAGGAAGATGGCACACACTGCTCAGGCAACAAGCATTCACTGTGCTCCCAGGCACTGCCTGGGCTGAGGGCTGGGGACACAGGACGGTAAAAGCCAGGCCTGCCCTCAGAGCTCCCATGCTCGTGGGGCTCAGCAGCAAGTGACCAAGCCAGAGGAGGCTGAGGTGGGTTAATGCTGGCACGATGGGGTGACAGTGGGCACTCAGGGCCCTCCCCACCTGAGCCTGCCTGCCTGTCCAGCCTTATCTCCTACTACCCCCCCACCAGAAAGCTCTAAGCACAATGACCCCACTGTCCCAGAACTGAGCGGCCCAGAATCCTTTTCTCTGATCAGGAGTCGCCTCTCCCGGGAGGCCTTCCCCAATGCCCGCCCGGGCAAGGCAGCACTCCCTCCTCAGAACTCCCTCAGCATTCTGCGTCTGCACCACCCACAGGACACACTGCCCACCGTCTGACCTCCCCCAGCGGAGAGACCCTCCACACCTTCCCAACTGAAGGAAAGTTCTGGGAGGGCAGGAGCCCTAGTCTGTTCACCTCGGCCTCACTGCAGCTCCCCCCAGGCCCTCCTATAAGGAAGGCACTCAATTATTGGTGGACATTCTGATCAGTCACTAGTAAACAACAGCAGACATGAATACAGGGCTTCCAGGCCAGTGGCTCTCACTTGAACTTCACAACAACGCCATGAGCTCAGCATTGCCACCTGCTCTACAAACGAGAAAACGAAGGCTCAGTGGTGATCTGCCCGAGGTGGGGTGCACACCCAAGTCCTCCTCACGTCCACTCTCTCCACCACAGGTCGGTCCCTCTGAAGTTGCTAGCCCCAAACCATCTGGCCATCAGAGACAGGCAGTCCCTGCAACTAAGGCGCAGAAAGAAGAAGAATCCAAACACCCCTGGTGTGGAGAGAGGGGCAGGAAGACCTGCATGCACCTGGGCCCAGATGCCACCTCTGGGCAAACTGGCAGAGGAGCGAGGGGAGGGGCTCCAGCCAAAAATCCCTGAAACACAGTCTGCCTTTGGGGAAGAATCACAAGGTCCAAGCTTTACAGCGGCAAGAGACCTTCATGAGAGTCCCTCAGGGGCCTGGGTCCCTAACCTCTGCTGTGACCTGGACCCAGTACAGTCGCCCAGTGGATGGAGCTCCTCTCTGAATCAGGTCGTTCAGTGCACTGATGAAACATGTAGGATCACAAGGGAAGCCAATTACAGAAAGGGATCAAGATATCAAAGAGCCTGTTCCTGGACCCCAGGTAAAGAACTCTGAATGTCCAGGCTGGAGAGGTGAAGTCTAGCCTCCAGTGGGACTGGAAACCCATTCTTGGGACTCTGTATCCAGGGGCACAGGAGCAGAAAGCCTCGGTCAGCAGAAGTAATGCCACAGGCCTACGGAGCAGGGCCCACTGCATAGCCACCTGACAAGCTCCCAGTATAAACAAGGCAGCCCAGTCTCTTCAACAGCAGTTCTGCCCAACTCCCCCACGCAGAAAGCAAAACGCCTTCCTGCATCTTTTTCCTGAGTCTCTCTAACTTAGGGGGTTTGTCATCAGGCCTACACTGAAGGCCCTTCCAATGGGGTAGCCCCTGCAGCACAACGCCTCCACTTCAACAGCCTTCAAAAACCCAGACTCATCTCCACGCTGGGCTAGGGCATGGATAGAGGCCACCAAAGGGCGAGGGGAGCATCAGGCGCTTGAGGAAGGACACAGTGGATCCAAGTCTTCTGCAGCCTCAGTGAATGCAGGCATTAACCTATCAGATTCACCTTCGTCCTATCACACTATGCATTTACCAAGCACATACCACTGCCAGCTAGGGCAGCGTGGGCCCCAAAGCTGATGGCTGGCAGCTGTCAATGGATATACCGCATGCAAATGTCGGAAAGTCGTCCGCAGGCCTCCTCCTACTCCTCTGATGAGGTGGGACGTGGGGGACGCTGCGTATGATGCAGATATTTTCGGATGTACTAATTGTATGCATTCTATGTAATTTCAATGTAATAATTTTTTTCTCTTCTTCCTTCTAAGTGATGGCTCCCAGTGGGGGGCAGAAATACACCATGAAATTCAGGCAATATTAAATCCGTAAGATATATTTTTGAAAAAGGAAGTTTTCTGTATTTCTACTTTTGTGCCTCTGTAAATTCAGCAAGGACTAAGGGAAGGCCTCCAGCTCATCTGGTCTCAAGGCACTCACCTCTACACTGGTAATGAGCCAGTCGCTCACAGCTTTGCTCTGGGCCCCACTCGTGACCATCTGGAAGCCGTTGGCAGTGGCTGTGTGCAGCAGAACTGGAGAGACAAGAGGCGCAGCGCTCACGTCCCACTCCTCAGCTGAGGTTTTTCAAAGCAGAACCAGGCCCACTAATAGGGCTGGTGAGGTGAGGAGGCCTTCCTCACCCTCTCTCCCCAGGAGCCTCTTCTCCAAACACTATGAGAGAGCCCATCCCTCTGGAGATGTGGCAAGCGCCATCCTCATCTCCCCGAGGCCACAGTGAGTGTCCTCTACGACCGAGAACTAGGGGATGACCCCGGCACATAGTTCAAGTACAAAAACGACACTGTCCTCCCACAACAACTCTTACCATTTAGTTAGAAAGAGACGGCAGATGCCAGAAAGGGAGACTTATTTAAGAATGCTGCCTCTGCACGTTTGGGGCAGCCAAAAGAGGCCCATTGACTGGAACTGCTGAACAAAATGGTCTAGGAATGTAATGGAATATGGTGATATGGTGGTGTCATAAGAGACAACAAATGAGCTGACCGGAAAGGGAGAGGGAATGAGCAGAACCAGGAAAACCATGTCCACAATGACTACAATACCGTCAAAACCTGCTGAATACAGTGCGGCCTGCTGAGCCAGGAAAAGAAATGAGGATGAAAGGATGATGCAGGAGAGCTGGAAGGGCCTCAGGGGTGAAAAGCCTGGCCCAAGGGCACACAAAGCAGGAAATTCCCCTCACCTTCTCTGGAGGCGGGGTAGGGCAGTCAGAGGCAGTCACCAGCTTGGGTGGCTGGGCTTAACCAGGAAGTTCAATGAGTGTGTATGTGGGAAGGGTGATAAGATTCCAAAGTGACTAATGTAAAAAAACAAAAGCCATCAATAAAACTGAAATTTTTTAAATGAATAAAATAAATGGATGTAGCTTTTTTAGTAATGTTCAATAAAATTAATAATGAAAAATAAATTTAAATGCTGTTTGTTTTCCAGGAGGGAGATGAAATGCTGATCCATTGCTGAGTCACAGGAGGGAAGAAATGGAATGAGAATATGTCCAATTATCCCCTGAATAGATGCTTTCCACGGGAACTGAAGGGAGAGAGACTGCACCCCCAGCCCCACCCCCACCCCCAAGTGCCCTTGACAGAGACACCAGGAACACTGAAGTAGCCGCCCACCACCTACCCCTACCTTCAGCTGCAGATGCTGAGCCCTGGGAGGCGGAGGCAGCCTGTGTCTGCTCATAGATGGAAAGCAAGGCTTCATCCTCCACTGCAAAGTAGACAGGGACGATGGTCTCCATGGCCAGCATCTCAGGCTCGATCTCCATGAATTGCTAGGGGAAGAAGAGAGAGCCTGGGCTCAGAATGGACCCCATCAGACAGCGTCCAAGTCCAACGAATGACAGAGGTGGGCTAAAAGTTGGCAAAGGCTGTGGAGGTGCCATAAGCAGGCTCCACATTGCAGGGGGTCATGAGGAAGGGGTGGATTGGAAGTGGTGCTGATACCAGGGGCCCTGTATCTGGAGTCAGAAGACCAAGCCTCCAGTCCCCTGTCCTCACCATTTACCAGCCATGTGACCATGGTCAACTTCTGAACTCTGGGCCTTAATTTGGCCATCTGTAAAACAGGTACATTTACATAGCCTCATAGGGGAGTTATGAAGACACAAGGAATAAAATAGTTTCTAACAAGTCTACAAGTAATTATTAAGCACCTACTATGTGCCAGGCTCTGTGCTAGTGCTGGGAATACAAAGAAAGGTAAGAAACAGCGCAGCTCTCCAGGAGCTCAGGCTAACCCAAGAGGATTACGCAGACAGAAATACTGTCATCATCCAGTGGTCCCAGGCCCTTCCTGAACAGGAATCCCCAATGAACGCAAACCCAGGGAGAGCCGTCCTTGCCAGCCTCATAAGGCCCCCAGCCCCGAGCCCGAAGGGAAGAGGAATGTCCCTACAGATGAGGTCACACCCACACTCCTCTCTGCAAAACCCAGAACACCAAGGCCCTCCTGAGAAAGTCACAACCTCACAGGAGTTAGGACTGGAAAAGAGAGATCTTGATCATGTGTGGTGACAGTGAGATGAGGGTGTGACTATACCCATGTAGGGCTGACACATTACTACTATTAATAATAACAATAATTAAAAATGACAAGAATCAACATTTATAGACTGACTGAATGTTTGCAAAGTGTTTTACAGGCCATTTGATCCTCACGACAACCTTAGAAGGCAGGTGCTATTATTATTCCCATTTTACAGAGGAGGAAACTGAGGCAAACAGTGGTTAAGTGACTTACTCAAGGTCACACAGCTAGTACATGTCTGAGGCCACATTTGAACTCAGGCCTTCCTGACTCTAGGTTTAACAATCTATGGTCACCCAGGGACATCACGGTGGCATTTCCATAGCCCTTTAAAGTTTGCAATTCACCTGACATGTCCTCACTTGATCCTCAAAATAACTCTGGGAGTAGGTCCTGGGACTGAAGAGTCTGAAGAACCAGGGGATCAGGGTAACTGGGGAGGCCTCGCGGTGCACTTTAATGCCCCTGGTATAAGAGAGGAAGACTATGGGCCAGGTAATGGACTCCTTGAGCACAGTGCCTGGCACATAGGAAGCACCTTAAAAAATCTTGAACAATAACTGAGAAAGGAAGACAAATGGCCTGCAGCCAGGCAGACCACTGCCACCAGGATGAGGATGGGGAAATGTGAATGCATGAAAAAAAATCAAGTGCCTTCTATGTACCAGGCACCGTGCTGGATGCCGGGGATATAAACAAGTGAGCCACCCCCTGCCCTCAAGGAGCTTACATTCTAATGGGAGAGCAAGACAAGAAGTGGCCAGAAAAGGGAGGTCTGGCATGGAGCAGGAGGGCAAGTGACTATCTGGCCCTTTCCAAAACCAGTGACAGTACTGATCTTTTAGTATTGTTTCCAAGGCCAGAGTCAAAATAAAGAGGGGAGGGCAGACCAGGACATACTCAGCATCAGATGGCGGGGTGTCTGCATGGTCCAAGATAACACTGACCCACTGGTAGAGGAGTCCACAGGGCCCAGGGAGGCGAGCCAGCCACGGTGGCCTCAATTGGCAGGGGCAGGAGAAATGGCAAGATGCCATGTGGATACAAATGAAGAGAAGCCGTCCTTCTGGTCAGGGCCCACCCTCTTCTCCCTGTCCTCTTCTCCACAATGCCCCTCTAAGCCGTGGCCTCTTCTCAGCCAACGTCTGACTCTCCGATGCCTCCATTCACATCCAAGTCTCTCTTCTCAAACGACTGTCTTGCCTTCCCAGTCTTATTGTACACGATCCCCCTTGATTTCCCACACTACACACCGACCTCGTGGATGACACACCACACAAAATCTCTCCTTGCCATCTTCTGCACAAGTGCCCACCCCCACACCCAGGCCTTCTCACCTCCACGTCACAGAATCCCTAGTCTCCCTCAAAGCTCAGCTCAGGCGCTGGCCTCCACAAGGCCTTTCTGACCCCCAGGCTGCCCCTGGAAATCACCCTGCATGAGAGGTGCCCATGCTTTCTCCCCTGGGAGAACATAAAGCTCCCTGCAGGCAGAGGAGGGCTCCTCTTTCGTCCTTCTACCTCCAGCACCAGCATCGCCATCCCAGCCCCCAGCCCAGGTGTCACTCTCTGCTGTCGAGGCCTGCCGATTTGACCTTAATAGCATCTCTCCTTGTCTCCTCTGACACTGTCACCCCCGGTGCCGGCCCTCATCACTTCATAGCTGCTGGGGGGCTGCCCAGCACAAGCCCCCCTCACTCCCATCCATCTTCCCATCAGCCACTGAAGTGATTTTCCTCAAGCATGCACACAAGCACATCACTCCCCTCCTAATCAACTCTACCATCTCCCTGTGACCCTCTGTTTGGCCCCGTCCCCATTCTGCAATCCAGTGACACGGACCTCCTTGCTGGTCCTGGAACAAGATCCTCCATCTCCTGACTGGGCATTTTCATTGGCTGTTTCCTCACTTGCAATTCTCTCCCTCCCTGTTTCTGCTGCCTCACTTCCTTCAGGTCCCAGCTTAAATCCTACCTTCTATATAAGCTTCTCCCAAACCCCCTTTAGACTGTGAGGGGAAGGGGGAGGGGGAGTTACATGAGAACAGGAACTGTTTTTTGTGTTTCTACATGTTTCCCCAGCTAATAAATGCTTATTAACCGACTTAATAAATCCTTGTTGTTGACTGACTATAGTAGCAGAGAAAGGACCCACATGGAGCCACTGGGGGAATGAGAATGAAGGGGGGAGAGCAGGGAAGACGAACAGGGATCAAGGGTGACAAGGAGAGGGATTAATGCCCAAGGCACTGAATCACAGAACTGCTAGAAGCTCTGGAAGCCATTCAATCCAATTCTATCATTTTACAGATGGGGAAACTGAGATTCATCGAGCAAAAAAAGAACGTGCTGCAAAGGGCCCCCCAGCTGGTGAGCGACAGAAGCAGGTTTAGAAGCCCAGTCTGCTGAGCCCTAGCGCGGTCATTCAACAAGCATTGCTGACCGAACCCGACAGCTCTGAGGTGCGGCTGAGTGTGGCCGAGGCCGCGGGGGGATGGGGAGAGGAAGGAGCGGTGGGGTGACGGTGACAGTACATACGCGGATGACGTCCTGCGGCACAGCAGCCATGGCCCGAGGCAGGATGATGACCACGGCCCCGGCCGACTGCCTGAGGGCCTTCTGGTACTGCTCATAGGAGAAATCCACCAGCCGCATCATGACGCAGCGGCGGCTCAGCACATCCGCCTCCACCGTCCTCGCCTCCGTGTTGAGTACTGCGTTTCGGGTGCCTGTGAGAAGGGAGAAAGCAGAGAAGCCCTCAGCCACCAAAGAAGTTCTCCCATCCCGGGGATCTCACAGAGGAATAGTATCCAGTGGGCTGGACAAGTTGAGTGGGACTACCTGGAAGCCAGAAGTCCCGGGTTTGAATGAATCAAATGGCAAGACTGATGAAGCACCTACTATGTACGTGTCATACACCAAGCTGGGTGCTAAGAGACACAAGTATCAAAAAGGAAACAACCCCTACTTGAAAGGGGCTGACGTTCTCAAAGGGAGACGAGGACACCTATAAATACACACACCACAAATATTGAGTGAACACAGGTACACACCAAACAGTTAAACACAAGGGTATTTGGGAGCATTTGGGGGATCAGGACAAGCTTCATGCAGAAGATGGCATCGAACTGCATCTCCGAGAAGGAGAAGCAGTCGGCCAGCACAAAGGCCCAGGGACTGAGAGGACCGTCCTGTGTAAGGACCAGAAAAAAGGTCAGTCTGGCTGGAAGAAAGTCCGAGAAAAGGAACTCTGTCCAATGAAGCTGAAAAGTCAGGTTAGGTGGATATACTGCGCTATGAGAAATGAGGGGGAAGGTTTCAGAAACACCTAGGCAGATCTGTAGGAACTGAGGCAAAGTGAGCAGAACCAGAAGAACACTGCCTACGACAGCAACAATAACATGAAGGTGAACTGTGAAAGGCTTTAATAACTCTGGCCAACACAATGAGCCCTCATGATATAAAATGTTATCCACCTCCAGACTGAGAACTGATGGACTCAGAGTACAGGCTGAAGAATATTCTTTTCTCTTCATCTATTTTTTTTTGCTCTTTTTTTTTCAGAACATGGCTAATGTAGACATGTTTTGCGTGACTTCATGTGTATAATGGGCTTCATATTTCTTGCCTTCTCAATGAGTAGGAGAAGGGGAAAGGGAGGGAGCGTATTTGGAACTGAAAATTTAAATTTTTTAAAAAATGAATTTGGGGAAAGTTGTATATGGTTTTAAAAGCTCTAGAGAAGCTAATATTTTATCCCTGGGCACCTGGGTGGCCCAGTGAATAGAGCAGTGAGCTTGGAATCAAGAAGACTCATCTTCATGAGCTCAATCAGGCCTCAGACACTCACTGGCTGTGTGACCCTGGGCAAGTTACTTAACCCTGTTTGCCTCAGTTTCCTCCTCTGTAAAATCCAGTACTTTTGCCAAGAAAACCCCAAACAGGGTCACAAAGAGTCGGACACAACTGAAAAATGACATAGGAGAGTCAAGGGGTCAAATCTGATAGGCTACAGCAGAAAGAGACTTGAGGCAAGGAGACAGACTTGACCTGCCTCAATGAGACTGTTGCAAAAATCGAGGCAAGAAGTGATGAGAGCCTTGACCAAGGTAGTGGCCGTTGGGGTGGAGAGAAGGGGCTGGGTGAAAAAGATGAGAAAGCAGAAAAGACAAGATTTACTAGCTAACTGGATACATGGGGTGAGGGAGTGTGAAGAGTTGAGGTTAGTGCCAAGAGTACATTCCTGAGAGTCTACAAGACTAGTAATGCCCTTCAGGTTTGAGGAGAAAGGTAAGTTCAGTTTGGGACATGCTGAGTTTGAGATGTCTATGGAACAACCAATAGGCTCTGTCATCAACTTAACTTGCTGTTGACTTTGGGCAAGCCCCTGGCTTCTCTGGGCCTCAGTTTCCTTACTGGTAAAACTAAGATGGGTGGACTTAACGATTTCTAAGTATCCTTCCAGTTTTGATAAGCTACGATTGATCTCTGAATTAGGTTACAGCCGGGGACATTGCAAACAGATACAACACAACCCAGACCTAGAGCTGGACATTAGCGCTCACGTCTGTTTGGTTGACAAAGGCCTAGCTAACACAAACAGCTGGCAATAGCTCACTACAAGCAAAAACGCCAAAAGAAAATCATCTGCACCTGGCTGCTACTAATTCCCAAGGCCAATCAGGAAAGAGCTATTCTCTTCACAACTTCAAAGGAGGGCAGGTTTGCCTTTAAGTGCTTTTCTGCTAGACTTTCAGGCTAAGGCTGAACGCCAGCATCAGGGTGTGGCGACTGCTGTAGCTACCACTGAACAGCATTCATTGTCCTTCACTTCTACTCCCTCCTCAAAGAGAGGGAACGAGCTCACCAGGAAGGTCAAAATGATTTTTTAGGCGCTTCAGTCTTGAAGTCCTTTTCCTAATTCCATTTAAGTCTCCTCTGCTGAATTCCAAATCCTCAGATTCCTTAATGCTTATTACAGTGTGAGAGAAATGATTATTAATAACTCGGGGAGATGCAGAGTTCCCCCTTTTTCTACAGTCCTCACTTCAAAGTTCAGTCTCTTGAAGGATATAACTGATAACAAGATTGAATTAACTCTCCTCAATCCTAGTCAGACCACACCCAGCCTTATAAAGAATTTAATCTAAGGTGGGGAAGCCCATTGTGCTCTACTCCGGTTTGGATGGGGATAAATTCTTTGATTAGGCTGCCCAAAGCTGGGGGTGGTCTGGGGGTAGAGACAGTCTCTTTGTCCAAGAGTGACATGATGCCACTCTCTCAGACCCTCACGGTAGTGAGCCCACATCTCACTGTAATATTCATTCTCTCATTAATTATTAAATTATCAGAGCTGATTGCCCCCCTCAAGAACACCCACTTTTCCAAGGGCATATAAGCTGTGAGCTGGCCGCCATGCTTGTCTTTGGCACTCCAGAGTACCCCTGACCTATCTTATTATTTATTCTTTTATTAAAATGTAAGCATTATTAATAAAGTGACTAATTACCCAGAAATTATGTCTCTTGAAACTTTTAAACATCACAACTGAGTCATAAAATATTAAGTTTGCAAGAGAATTTAGAGATTATTCACTCCAAACCCCTGTATCTCATAGAGACATGTACTCACTTTAGGGAGACAATGCAGGAATTAGGAGACCTGGGTTTAAATTTTAGGGCTTAAAAAAATAAGTTAAAAAAGAAATCTTAGGGCTAACTCTGAGGTGCCACCTCACATCGATCAGATGAATGAAGATGACAAAAGAATGTGATCAATGCTGGAAGAGCTGCAAGAAAACAAGCACACTAATGCACTGCTGGTGGAGCCATGAACTGGTCCAGCCACTCTGGAAAGCCATTTGGAACTGTGCCCCAGGTTGCTCAACTCTGCTTACCCTTTGACCAGTGAAATCACTATTAGGTCTATACCCCAAAGAAGTCAAAGGAAAAGGAAAAGGACCCACATACACAAAAACATTTATAGCAGCTTTTTTGGAGTAGCCAAAAACTGGAAACTAAAAAGCTGCCCTCCTACTGGGAGATGGCTAACCAAATTATGGCACATGAATGCAATGGAACACAATGGGGCCAAAAGAAACAAAGGACAGTTTCAGAGGAAACTAAAACTGGTACAAAGTGAAATGAGCAGAATTAGAACAATTTATACGACAACATTATAGAGAAAAACAACTTTCAAATACTTGAGAATTCTGATCAACTCAACAATAAACCACCAATTCAGAAAACTAAGATGAGACAGGAGACCCACCTTGTTACAGAGAGGTGATGCACTTTAAAATGCAGAATGTGACATGCATCTTTGGACATGATCAATATGAGAATTTGTTTTTACCAGACTACGCATATTTGTTATGATAGCTTTTTTAAAAATAGTCAATTGTGGGGAAGGGGGAGCAGTAGGAGAGATAATCCTTGTAAAAATGTTTTTTAAATCAGCATTAATAACAACAATATGGCCAAAGTCAAGTCTCTGAGCCTCAGTTTACACATCTTCCAAAAGGGAAGTAATTCTTGTATTCAGTACTTCCCAAGGCTGTTGTGGAAGAACGTAATTTTGTACACTTTAAAACACTAAAACAAGTCAATTTTTTCCACAATTTTCAAAACATTTTTATTTAAAGTTTTGAGTTCCAAATTTGATCCCTCCTCCCTCCTTGAGAGAGTAAGCAATCAGATATACATTTGCAATTACGTAAAACATTTCCATATTAGTCATTTTATACAGGAAGACTTGAATAAAAGAAAAAAAATGAAAGAAAGTAAAAAATAGCATGCTTCAGTCTGTATTCAATCAATATCAGTTCTTTCTCTGGAGACAGATAGTATGCTTCATCATTAGTCCTTCAGGACTGTCTTGGATCAGGGGTAGGGAACCTGTGGCCTGGAGGCCACATGTGAACCTCTAAGTTCTCAAGTGTGGCCCTTTGACTTCATGAATCCAAACTTCACAGAATAAATCCCCTTAATAAAAGGATTTCTTTTGTAAAACTTGGACTCAATCAAAACTTGGACCATTGTACTGCTCTGAATAGCTAAGTTCTTTATCAAACAATACTGCTGTTACCGTGCACAACATTCTCCTGGTTCTGTTCACTTCACTATGCATCAGTTGGTGTAAGTCTTTCCAGGTTTTTCTGAAATCATCCTGCTTGTCATTTCCTGTAACACAGTAATATTCCATTGCAATCATATACCACAGCTTGTTTAGCTATTCCCCAACTGATGGGCATCCCTTCGATTTTCAATTTTTAGCCATCACACAAAGCTGCTATAAATGTTTTTGTACAACTAGGTCCTTTTCCTTTTTGGGGGATGTCTTTGGGATACAGACCTAGCAGCGGTATTGCTGGAACAAAGGGTATGCAGTTTTATAGCCTTTTGGGCACAGTTCCAAATTGCTCTCCAGAACGGCTGGATAGGTTCACAACTCCACCAACAATGCATTAGCGTCCCAGTTTTCCCACATCCCTTCCAACATGCAACGTTTTTTGTTTTGTCATATTAGCCACTCTGATAGGTGTGAGGGGGTAAAACAAGTCAATTTGAGAACACTCATTAAGTGCCTACCATGGCAAAGCAGTAAGTGTGCTAGGCTGCAGACCCCAGATTCTTCATTATTATTCTCTCTCCCTCTACATGTTACCTGCTCACTCTCTTCCCAGGAACAAACAGGGAGAAAGGATGTTTTCAGTTAGGCCCCCTTTAAAGGAGCTGCTGCTAGCAGCCTCTGGGTTTGGGACAAACCTCTGCAGCCAACCAAAGCCTTGACATTAGAAACCAGCTGGCCTCCCAACAGACAGAAAAAGCAAGCATTAGCAAACCTCAGGGACAACGAGAAGGAACGTTTCACTTGGAGAAAAGCAGTCCCGAAAAAACAATTCTATGAAATATTAATTGCAAGAATGTGGAGGGGGTGAGAGGGAAGAACTGACACGGTGCTTTTCAAAGGAGTTCATGAGGAAAGAGGCTATCAGCACTTGGTCAGCTGCATTTGCCAAGAGCTCACCGGGAAGCTAGCCGTGTTCTGGGCACAATGACAGCAAAGACAAATAGAACTCCAGAAGCAAAGGGGATCTGACATCCCTTGCCCTGACAACCATCCAAATCCCCCATCAACAAATACCACCCAGTGCCTGGCCCTCTACCTGCTGAGCTCAAATCCTGCCTGGAATGCAAGTCAATCCTGTCACCTCAACCAGGCTCAGCCAGGATATGTCCCAATCAAAGCCAGCTTTCTATCCACCAAACCACACTGCCTCCACAGGGCTATAGAAATAGGAATAATCATTCATTATAATCATTACACCAAGATTTGCAGTTTTATATGCAATCTTTTTCCACTTGTGTTCAGAAATAGAAAAATCTTATTTGTCAGGTTTATAATAGAGAATTTTTAAAATGTATCATTGTTACTTATGGAAAAAATGAGATCCAGAGCTGTAAAAGAACAGTTTGCGTATGGTCATTCAGCCAATATCTGGGAGAATGTCCCCAGTCCAAGGTGACTGACTATCCCCAAGCCCACCATTGCCCCGCAAGTCCAAGAACAAGGTTTTAAACTATGCATTTGCTTAACAAATGAATAACACTAATTTTTTTAAAAATCATACAGACAAGTATAACTATTTACCATAGTTTGGCTTTGACCACTGTCATAATCCAAGTCCCAAACTCTCAACGTGGCAGTTATTAGACTCCCCTTATTTATCCGGAAACACAATCTTCCTTACAAGCTACTCTTAAAGGGACTGGTATCTGAACAAATTTCTCAACAAACTCCTTGGGCCACCTCAGGGACCAGCCATCGCATGAATGGTATTTATCTCAGAATCTTCCAGCTTCAAGGGCCCTTAAGAGCTCAAGTCCAAACATCTCATTTTATGAATGGGGAAACTGAGGCCCGGCCAGAGGAAAGGATCTGCCTAAAACCATGGAGCAATGGAGGGACAGGACATGGATTTAAATCTGGGTCTTCTGACTCAGAGCCCAGCCCAAGTCCCTACCCATTTCACCTGCCTCCCTCCAGGTCTAATCAAACGTTTCAACTCATACTGAACCTTGAACTCCACCCCAACAATCCAAGACGCAATACAATCTGACCTAGAAATGTGTAGGAGGTGAATGGGGGGAAAGGTAGCAAGAAAAGCAACCTTGAGAAGCCATTCCAGAAGCCAAGAAGTGGCTCTATTCAGGAGCTGGGCTTGGGCACAAACCAGGCTCAATCACAGGCCCCCAGCTCCAGAGCAGGCAGGGAGCAAGCCTCCTCTCACTTGACAGGTGAGGCCACCATGGCCTGACTCCAAACCTCCATACCAGGTCCAGGCTTACACTACCGTGATATTTCTGAAGTTGCTCTGTCTCCAAGGATGGGAGGTGCCCTATGCAGATAACCACCTTTCAACATTTCCTCTCCTCCCCACAGTCTGAGTCAAGGTAAGAGGGCCCTGGGCAGAAAAGCAAGGAAGAGAAAGAAAGAGGAACCACTCACTATTCCCCTGGGCTTTAGACCCACATACACACCACCTTCCCCCAGAGGCCTTTCCTGAGCACACCCCAAATTCTTCCAGTTACACACACAGCACCACAGCACGGGGCTTATGTGACGAGCAGAAGACAAGTAGGGCAGGGACAGTCATACAATAAGACATCTGGGGATACCTGGAGAGCAGGACAATGCTGCCTGCTGCCCTCAACACTAACCAGATAAACTTCTGCAACCCCAGCACCCAGTGGATGGCCTTACACGTACACGGGAGGCCCTTATTAACCAAGGTTTGCTGAATTTAACCACGATCCAACCTTTGCAGCCTCCCAGGGAATGGGCTGCTCGTGGAGCTAAGGGGCTGATTAGGAAAAAGATCAAAGCAGACTTCCAAGGAGGAGTCTATACAAAGTGGGGAGGGAGAAGGAAAGGGGAGAGGGGAGAGAGGCTGTCAGGTAAAAGAGCCTGGTCCCAGGGGGAGGAAACATAATCTAACCCCAGGACCCCATTCCCTGAGAGGAACAGAAGTTCCCAGGCTGGGGCTATGGAGTCTCCCATGAGGCCCAATTAAGCAGAGCCCAGAAAAACATACAGCCTCTTCCTTGGGCCTCTGTTCCCCAGGCCAGGAGACAAGGCAATGGCAGGGGCCTAAGGCTGGCAAAACCCAGCCTCAGGAGCTGAAAGGAAAAAAGTCTCCAGATAGTAAAGGACACTGTGACTTGGAGCAGCTGATGCTAAAGGGGAGAGGGTTCCAAATCTTCTAAGTAACCAGGAGGGGAGTCAGTACCTCTAACCGTGCCTGGCTTAGGGGTCCCAGTGTAGCAAGGGCCCTAACGAGCCAGCGAGTCGACACCTTCATTTAGAGATGAAGGGGAGGGTCAGGACTTGTCCAAGGGGCACACAGGCAGGAAGCCCTGAATCCAGGGCCCTGGGTTGCAGAGTCATTCTACCAGGACCACTGCATGTCCCATGGTTCTTCCCCAAAGGCCACTCCAGGCCAGACCAACCAGCTGCCCAAAGTCCATGCTAAAAGGAGAGGATTAAGAGATAGAAGGGGCCTTGGAAATCCTCCAGTGTACCCCATTTTACAGATGAGGAAACTGAGGCCCAGGGTCAGAGAAGAACTCCCCTACCCCATGTTAGCTAGTCTGCGAAGGCATACCAGGGGACTGATGGGATTTGTAGCCACTGCTGGGCTTTTCCCCAGCAGCCGCTAAATCACTGCACAAGGGCTGGTACTGGAGCCAGGAGATTTCCTGGGCTGTGTGACACTGACTGGTGTTTCTCTTTCTGGGCCTCAATTTCTTCACTTGTGAAATGAAGGTAGCACCCTCCTCCCAGGATTACTGTGAGGAAAGCACCCTGCACCCTCGAACATGCTACATAAATGTAAGCCACTGTTACCAATGTCACACATAGGGCAGCAGTTTGGAGGTGCAAGGGTTAATAGCCTCATTTTTTTTTTTTTAAAAACATGAGAAAACTAAGGCTGAACAGTTGCCCAAAGGTTAAATACCTAGCAAATGGCAGAACCAGAAATTTACACCCCAGGCTTTCCCCATGGATTCCTGGTGGCCCAAGACAAACACACACACACACACACACACACACTCACACTCTCTCTCTCTCCAGTACAGATTCCAGTCCATGAATGTTGAGAGACAGGAAAGCAGCACACATCACGCACAACACAGCACACATGCCATCGCACATAAATTCTCCTAGGCACACATGCTCTGCAGATTCAAAAGCCTGTTACTGCCAACCGTCCAAGCCTTCCCCTCCCCGCCAAAGAAGCTGGTATGGGGGGACGGGTTGGGAAGGGCCACCAGCAATTTGGACTATTTGGGAGACAACAGTTAGAAGGACCCCCACGACCCGGAGGGCAGGGAAGCTCCCAAGCTTAGGGAGAAGCTGGAATCCTAAAGCAAACGAGTAACAGCCTCTAACTGCCTCCAGGAGAGAAGCCCAGGAAAACAGGGAAGTCTGTAGGGAAATGAAAGGTGATTGGGGGGGGAGGCAGGTACATAAGTGAGTTGTAAGAAAGAAATTAACTCTGAGAGAAGAAGACAGGAGAGTGAGCCTGAGGGAAACAGGCCCATAGAAAATAGAGCATCTTTGGAGAATGGGGGCAGAACGTGAGGGGGGAAGGGAGAAACAGCAGTCCCAAGACAGGCCTGACCCAGCCCCTACATGGGGGCTTTTGAGGCAGGAATGGGGCCTACAGACAGGATAGAGGACCAGGTGACTCCGCCAGGGTCCCTGGCAATGTTCTGAGCTCCCAAGTCCCGGATAGGGTCAGACTCCCTGACAGGTGAGGCCCAGAAGAGCAGAGCTTGAGGACAGGGCTCGCTGGCAGGGGGGAGAGATAAGATCAGGTTTGAGGACAAATCGCTAAGGGGCCACTCAAAGGCAAGACTGAGGGCTGACTGGGCCCAGAAGCAGGGGCCAGCCAGAAATGGGCAGGACTGAGCTGGAAGGGGAGAGGGCAGCAGAGAGGCCAGGCTGGGCTGGGACAGACGGACAGGGGGACCCTGGGCACAGAGAGAAAAGGGGGGAAAGGGTCAGTCTGGGACAGTATCAGACACTGCGGAACGGTGAGGCTTGTGGGCTAGGAGCCCCCCCGGCTGGAGGACCCCCTCAGAAGGGGGCATAGGTCACATGGACTGGGATCAGAGGAGGAAGGCAGTAGACTGACTCAAGCTCAGGGCCGGGGGTCAGGCTCCAGGGGAATGAGGGACGCCAGCCCTCAGACGCAAGGACGGTTAGTCCTGATAGGGACCCGTCCGAGGGCCGGAAGGAACGGGTGCGCACAAGCTTGGCTTGGGGCTGGGGAAGTGCTGGGGTCCCTCTGCTTCATGGCCAGGGCAAGGTTGAGCTGGCGGACAAGGTGGGGAGAGGAGAGCCCCAGCTCTAGAGCAGGGGAGGGGGAGACAGAGAGTGGGGGCCAAGCGCTAGGACTGGGAGGGGGAGGGGGCCCGGCTCCAACACCGGGTCCGAGGCCCGCCGGCACTGAGGGGTCGCGTTCCGGGCGGGGCACACACACACACTCACACTTACACACTCACACGGGCGGGGGTCGCGGACGCGCGGGGGCCGGGCTGCGCACGGGGTCGCGCCGGGGGGGAGGGGCCGGAGCGCGGGCCGGGAGGGCCGGGGCGGCGGCGGGGAAGGACGCACCGTAAGCCTGGCCCTGCAGGTCGTACTGCTGCATGCGGTAGACGGTGAACTCGTGCGCCGCGTCGGCGGTGGGCAGCGGCGGCGCCACGAGCAGCAGCACGGCGGGCAGGAAGACGATGAAGCTGAGAGGCAGGCACGAGGCCTTCAGCATGTTCTCCAGCACCTCTCCCGCCTCCTCCAGCATCCTGGCGGCCGGGCAGGGGCGGCCTGCGGTCGGCGGCGCTCCGGCAGGGACACGGACGGCGGCGGCGGTACGGGCTCGGGCTCCCGAAGCTCGGACTCCTGATCCGCCGGCAGCACAGCGGCATGGACAGCCCCGGGGTCCTTCAGGCAGCACCGCGTACACCCCCGCCGCCGCTGGCGCTCTACCTCCTGGGAAATGTAGTCTTAGCGGCTCTGCGGAAAGAACGTGTTCTCGGGGCGCGCTCAGCCTCATGGGAGTCGTAGTCCTCTGGGGCGACGGTGGCCGTGGGGAGGGGCGAAGCGTTGACAGCCGGCGCAAATGCAGTTGGGAGTTGTAGTCTACTTGGCCAAGGTGGCTCGGTCACCCGGCCCCAAGAGAGCACGTGGAGTTTAAAACGTTTAATTTTAGGATTTGGGGAAGAGGTGCTCTGAAGCGAGCACCCACGTGGCGCTTGGTTTGACTCAGCTCTGGTAGCCAATTGTGTAACCTCGGGCAAGTCACTTAACTTCTGTGGGCCTCGGTTTCCTCCCCTGCAAAATGAGGGGGTTGGACCAGATGAGGCATCTAGATGGCAAAGTGGATAGAGCACAGGGCCTGTAGTCCAGGAAAGACCCGAGTTCAAATCCAACCTCAGACACTTCCTAACAGCATGACCCACGGCGAGCCACTTTGCCTCTTCCTGCCTCAGTTTCCTCATTTGTAAAATGGAAATAATAACTACCTACCTCCCAGACTTGTTTTGAGGATCAAATCAGATATTTGTGATGCATTAACACACAGTAGGCACTTAATAAATGCTTGTTTCATTCCTTCCATTCCATAAATCTATGACCCTATAATAATTTTTTTAATTCCTTTTTCAGTTGACAAAGTGCTGTCCTGGAAAACAACTTTGTGAGGCAGAAAGCACAAGTGTTATGCTTTGTCTGTGGCGGCCCAGCTAGAAAGGGGCACATCTGGGGCTCAGGCTTAGGTCCCCAGATTCTGAGAACAGCATTCTTCCCACTGTACCACTTCCCAACCTGATCACTGGGAAGCCATGGAATTTTGGGCAAATTATTCAAATTACTCATTCTTCATACTGAAGACATGACTATTTTTAGATGTATGAGATGTCCTTCTTGGGGAGAAGAGGGGGAGGGGCAGTGATAGGTGCAGGTCCAGGCCCTCAAAGTCATCCATAGGGGAACTCCTAGCATGGAAAATCCCTCCAATGATACAAATTGGCAACTCGGTGTAGTCCTGCACAGTTGCCTGGGGCACAGAAAAGTTAAGTGACATGCACAGGGTCGCTCAACTGCCACCAGACAGAAGCAAGAGTTGAACCTAGATCTTCCTGACTCCAAGGCCGGCCCTTTATCTACTATGCTCAACGTTGTGATGAACAAAGTACAAATTCATCTGAAAGCATTAATGAATTTCCGTCACCCTGAATTATCTAAATGAACTAATAGATACTAACAGTATTACTATCATGGGGGGGAGGGGGTCCTCAAAAGATTTTTGATATTTAAAAAGGGCCCTCATGCTAGAAAAGATTAGAAAGCAATTCATTTATTTATCCTTCACTGCCCGTCCATGAGTCAGTGAGCCAATGAACTTTAAAAAAAAAGTTGTTCAATTTTATTTTCATATCCACATTCTTTCCTTCTCACCTCCACCCAACCCCCATTGAGAAAGCAAGAAAAGTAAAACCTGTATAAACATGGAGGACCAAGAAAAGCAAATTCCCACAGCGTCCACGTACCCCAAAAATGCCTCAGTCAACACCTGCAGTCCATCACCTCTCAGGAGGCAGGGGCGTGTTTCATCGTGGGTCATCACTGGCCATTGCACTGATCGGAGCTTCTAAGTCTTTGTTCTAGGTCTCGCTTATCTTTAAAATATCATTGTTATCGTATAAATTGTTCCCCTCATTCTGCTGATTTCACTCTGCATGAGTTCATACAAGTCTTCCCACATTTCTCTGAAACCATCCCTTTCATCATTTCTTACAGCACATTGAAAGTATTGCTTTCATATGCTACGAGTTATTCAACCATTCCCCAAATGATGGGCGTCCCCTCAGTTTCCAATTCTTTGCCACTACAAAAAGAGCTGCTATCAACATTTTTGTATGTGTGGGTCCCTTTCCTCCTTTTTTGGTCTCTTTGGAAAATAGATCTAATAGTGAAATCTCAATAGATCTGAGGGTATGCACAGATTAATAGCTTTGCTTTCCAGAATGGCTGGACACAGCTCCACTAATATAGTTCATTATACTTATTTTCTCATAGCCCTTCCTGCATTTGTCATTTTCCTTTGTCAACTTTTGTCATTCTGATGGGTGCAAAGTGATACCTCAGAGTTGTTTCAACTTACATTTCTATAATTATTAGTGATTTAGGGGACTTTTTCATATGGCTATTGATAGGTTGGATTTCTTCCTCTGCAAACTTCCTGTTCATGTATTTTGACTTTTTCAATTGGGGAATGGCTCTTATTCTTATAAATTTGAATCAATTCCTTCTATCTTGGAAATGAGACCTTTGTCATAGAAACTTGCTTCAAAGATTTTTCCCCCCACTTACCTGCTTCTCTTCTAAATTTAGCTGAATTGTTTTTGTTTAAAAAGTGCAAAAACTTTTTAATTTTAGGCAATCAAAATTACCCATTTCACCTGAGAACCTCTCTATCTCTTGGTTATGAATTCTCCTCCTATCCATAAACCTGACAGGCAATTTCTTCCATTCTCCTTTAATTTGTTTATGATGTCTTTATTTCTAAATCAGGTACCTCACCCCTTTGGAGCTTTCAACAAGCATTTGTAAGGTGTTTTCTATGTTCCAGGCATTATGCAAAATGCTGGGAATAAAAAGAAAGGCAAAAAAAATTTAAATATTAAAAACAAGGGGGTTTATGAGGGCTCTCAAGGAGCTCATGTTCTAATTGGAAAGGACAACATGTAACTAGGTAAGCTTATCAAAAAGGCCTCTTACAATAGATGTCTCCATTTCCTCTTCTCACTCTTTTTAACCCCTTAGAATCTGGCTTCTTAGCTTCTCCACCAAAACTCTCTCCAAAATTACCAATGTTTTCTTAGTTACTGAATCTAATGGCTTTTTCTCAATCCTCATTCTCCTCAACCTCTCAGCAGCCTCTAACATTATTGATCACCTTCTCCTTAATACTGTCTTTTCTCTAGCTTTTCAGGATACCACTCTCTCCTGGTTCTCCTCCTACCTCTCTGACCACCCCTTCTCTGTCTCCTTTGCAGGATCCTCCTCCACATCGTCCCTCTAACCATTGGTGTCCCTCAGGGCTCTGTCCTGGGCCCTCTTCTCCTCTCCCTCAATACTACTTCACTTGTCATCAGTTCCCATAGATTTAATTACCGGCTCTACATTGACAATTCTCAACTCTACCTTTCCTGCCCCAACCACTCTACTGACCTCTAATTTCTCATCTTCAACTGCCTTTCTAACGGCTCAAACTAAAATGTCCAGAAGACAACTTAAACTCAATGCGTCCAAAACAGAACTCATTATCTTTCCTTCTCCTTTCTTAATTTCCTTGTTACTGTGAAGGCTAACACCATCCTCCTAACCCCTCAGGCTCACAAGCTATAACCCAGCCTGGACTCCTCACTATCCCTCACCACCCACATCCAAGCTGTGGCCAAGACCTTCAATTTCACCTTTGCAGCATCTCTCAGATAGCCCGTGCCCCCTTCTCTGACACTGCCACCACTCTAGCACAGACCCTCGTCACCTCATCCCTGGATCACTACAATGGGCTGCTGATGGGTCTACCTGCCTCGTCTCTCCCCACTCTGGTCCATCCTCCAGTCAGCCACTAAAGTGATTTTCCTAAAGCATAGGTTTGATCACGTCACACGTGCGCACGCATGTGCACACACACACACACACACATACACGCACACACACACACACATACACGCACACACACACCACTCAATAAACTCCAGCAGCTCCCTGTTGCCTCCAGGATCAAGGACAAAATGCTCTGTTTGGCATTCAAAGCCCTTCATAATCTAGCACCCCCTCTCCCCACCTTTCCAGTCTTCTTATGCCTTCCCTGATACTTACCCTTTAATCCAGTGACACTGACCTCCTGGCTGTTCCATGAACAAGACACTCCATCTCTTTGATCTAGGCATTCTCTCTGGCTCTGACCACTGACCTCCCTGGCTTCCTTTGAGTCCCAACTAAAATCCTCCCTTCTACAAGAAGCCTTCCCTAACTCCTCTCAATGCCAGTGCCTTCCCTCTGTTAATTATCTCCTATTTATCCTGTACATAGCTTGGTTGGTATATATTTATTTGCTTGTTGTCTCTCTCTCATTCGATTGTAAGCTTCTCGAGGGCAGGGGCTGTCTTTTGCCTCTTTTTGTATCCCCACTGCTTAGCACAGTGCCTGGCATGTGGTAGTCACTTAAAAAATTTTATTGATTGGGAAAAAAATAAGGGACATACAAGATACATGGAAGGTAACCTTAGAGTGGAAGCAAGTGGGGAGACTAGGAAAGAGTTCCCGAAGAAGGTGGTATTTGAGCTGAATCATAAAGGAAGCCAAGGACTCTGACAGCATCTATGGGAAGGGAAAATATCTCGGGCCTGGGGGACAAGCAGCCGGTGCAAGGCCACAGAGACCAAAGGACAGCAAGCTGTGGCCCTGGGCTCTTCACAAGCCCCGTCTCCTCTTCTCTGAAATTCCCTGGTGGATAATAGAAGGAGATTGTAGACTTATAGCTTAGCAAATAGAAGTCATCTAATATATATTCATATAGAAAAAAAACAGAGAGAAGAGGAAGAAAGAAGAGAAGAATGAGGGACAAAATGTGTCCCTGGGGAGTCCTTTAGGAGACGTGTTAGAGATCTGCAGGCTGTTCAGTCACGATGACAGGAAAAACCTAGGGGACAGCAATGATTTTCTCCAATTTTACAGACAAGAGCTTGTTCACAAAGTGGGGAAAGCAACTCCTCAGATCACACAGAGCTGGGGCTGGGACTAAGAAGAGAAGCTAGGTGTTTGAGACAAGTCAACAAGCATTTATTAAGTGCTTGCTGTGTGCGAGGCCTTATGGGGGCAGCTAGCTGGCTCAGTGGATCAAGTGCTGGGCCTAGAGTCAGGAAGCCTTGATTTCTTTTTTTTTTTTAAGCCAA